TTTCCGACCGTGGCATGTTTCCAGCAACCAGCTTGTGGCTCTGGACAACTAGGCGCTCTCCACTACTAACAATAGCTGAACAGGCAACGGCTCCTTTCAAAATGCAGTTGAAGGTTGTTGTCCAACAACTGTGAGGGGGCGGCAGTGGCGATATTGCAATGATCTCTCTGAGGAAGAAAACACAGCTAATGGGGACTCGTTGAAGAACAAATGTTAAACGAGTATCTAACACACAATTTTATCCGTGATATATTTTTATTAAAATTTATTTTGTATGATTGGTTGTTATCATATTTATTTATATTTTTGATATTATTATAATAAGAAACTTAAAAAAAACAAAGAAACAAAATATAAAATAAATCAAATCAAATAATATTTTTAGATTATGTTAATTAATAATAAAATAAGCAAATAAAAGAAAGAAAAAAGAAAACATTTGTATGATGCATGGTTACTTGTTGGGGTGCTTCAGCCGTCCTACAAGTAGGACTGTGCAGATTTGACCAATCTATTTTGATCTGCATGAATTCGAACAACCCAATCAAAAATGAATATTAATGAGTTTTAGGTAAGTAGAATAAATTTTCTGGATTGAAATGGTTAAATAAGATTGGTGGCGGGTATAAAATTATGAAACTGTCGGTAACTAAAACCGATCGAATATGTATGTAAATATGTAGATGAGTAGTAAAATAGACTATACTTTTTACTTTTTAAATGTGTATATGAAAGTTCATTGTTATATTCACACTATTAGTGGATGTACTTATTAGGTGCACTACGTCAAAATAGATATGTCAAAGCGGTTCCGTTTTAATTTAGAAAGCGTTTAGAACCGTTTTAAAATTTCGCGCTATCTAATATGTTGCACTTAAGAGAGCAGTTAAACAACCGCTCTCAAATGTTAATATTAAAAAGCGGTTTTACGTGGAACCGCTCTCACAAAGTGAATGTTATTTAAAATATATCCCGAATCTAGAATTTGAAATTTCTTTCTTCGTGAGTTTTCTATTTCAAACCAAAATTAATTTATTGTTATGTTTAAACTTTTTTTATTTTTATCACAAATTAAAAGTGAAACTTGTTGAGTTTGTACGTTGTATTAACCAAACAGTCCACATCTACAATACTATTAAACAGAAAAAAGAGAACAAATTAGCGGATGATTTATGGTTAATAGAGGAAAAAAGAAAAAAAGAGAGAACATTAAGAACAATTAGAAAGGTAGCAACAGATGTAAAAGAAACTAACTTTTTTAATGCAAAGAAGATAAAGAGAACCTACAGTAAAAGAAACAGAGAAAAACTTTGTTAGCGCATAAAAGACGAAGAAGATAAAGAGAACTTACAGATGTAAAAGTGAGTAACTTTGTTAGCAAGATAAAGAGATTTGAGAGCGCTTCATTTATAAGATAAAAAAAAAAAAAAACTTTAGAGAGCGGTTCAATATTAACCACTCTTAGAAGTATACTTTAGAAAATGGTTCAATGCTAACCGCTCTCTAAATATATTATTATAAAGCAATTCATACTAACTGTTATCTAAGTTAGCGCTTCAAAAGTTCGTTTCTGTTGTAGTGGTGAGTACTGATTCCATCCCTATATACGTACATGTGTGTCTGAAAATTGAAAAATATTGCACTCATCAATAGCAAAATTGTACAAGTCATTTTCTATTCTCAAATTTTTAATAAAGCCCAGTATAGAGCTTAAGAGAAAAAAAATTGTATTTTAACAATAATAATTTTTATTGAATTTTTTTAAATCCAACATAAGGGTCCAACCAAATTAACCAACCGACTTATTAAGCTACTCAATAGGACTGAATCCGAATTAATCAAAAAAAGAAAATGAAAAGAATCAAGTTTTTTTTAAACAATTCGGTTAACTATAATTAGTTAATTTTAAACTCAAACCCACCCAAAACCGACCGACGATCACTCTACCTGCAAACCTTAAATTGAGACTGTAATTGTGAAAATGGGCAGTGACAGATGGAGCTTACGAGGCACACAAATAAAAAGGAGCAAAGGGTTTTTTTAAAAAAAACACACGGTCAGGAAGAAAAAGCTGGGTATGGGAAACAAGCATAATCAACATTCATGTCATAGGCAAAAAATGAAGAAGGCTGCAAATCATCGTCGACTTAAGTAACATATGCACTCTACTTGATATATTATGATTTATGAATTTTAAGTTTTGTAAAATGCATCTGAAATGCATTCGCATGCTGCGGTTGTGATATGCAATCAACCATTCATTTTATTACTATTATGCACCAGATTGAATAAATGAGACAAATGATTTCATTGTACCTCAAAATACAGTACAACTGATCTCTGCGTCGAATATGTATATATTACAAACAAAATAGCTTCATTCACACTCTGAAAAGTCTTGATTTTTATCCTCACTGTTCGTTTATATTCCACTTGCACGTGTTATTATTCTTTAGAGCATATTACAATCACAAAGTTATAAGTGAATATCCATTATTTTATCTCGTCGTACATCTTTCCGTTCTTGTATTACATTAGATTTTACTGAATTGACGCTATTAGAATTTTAATGTGGAAGTTTTGATCCTTATATCTATTATCTTTATTTGTTATTTCTTTGTGATTACCATTGTATCACTAAATATGAATTTCATCTCTATTTCATTGACAAATGTATCGCAACTCTTTCAATTTTATGATTTTATTTTGAACCTCTTGAAATGATATTTTTTTTTTTGTAGTTAATTAAATATTAAAATATATACATATTTAATAGACAATTTATAACTTTAATATGCAACAACTCTACCTTTCTATGTTATAAATTATCAAAGCATACGTGTACCAACGTTAACTTAGGTATTTTGCATTCAAAGATCAAACATTACTCTTAAAAGATAAATTATATAATATAATTAATTTTCTTTTTTTTTTTAAAAATCTAAATCAAGATTTATTTCCACTTAATTACATAATTTATTAATCAATTAAATTATATTTTAATTAGTACTATTATTTATAATTTACTTATTAAATAAATTGATTCACTTAATTAATAAATGATTTATAATGCTAATGTGAAGCATTTCTACATTTATGCATTATAAATCGTCAAAAGCCAGTATGTACTTACATTGTTGTTGACTTCATGAGATATAAATATTTTAAACTAAACGACATTTTATTTTAAATCAATTGAATATTTCACACTTTAAGATATATTTTTTCTTTAATTATCATGTTGTCAATTTATTAATTAAGTGTAAAAAAATAATAAATAAAACTTACCATCTACAATAACTTATAATTCATCTTATATTAATTAGATATCTATTCATATATTAATCTAAATGTCTTTTTTTAAAACGTTTCTCTTTTCATATAATGAATAATTAAATAATTAATTTATTAATTAAGCCAAGTGCAACAATTTGTGATATCAATATGTAGCAACTCTACATCTGTGTGTTATAAATTGTCAAAACATGTGTATACATGCGTTATCTTATGTCATAAGCAGCACTATCAATATATTAAAAAATGAAATCTTTTATGAAATTATTGAATTATATATTTGTTTTATTAAAATCTCCTATAGCTAAAAATATTCCTCTCTTAAATTATTAAATAACATAAAAATTTATTCCAAGCATAAAATAATATTCATCTCCATTTAATTATAAAATTTATCAATCAACTAAAGAATGTTCATTTTTGTTATCTCATCTAATTAATTAATCAAAATATATTATATTTTTACATTGATTTAACTTATCAATTAATTAAATTAAAATTAAACTACCTAATTAATGTAGTAATTTATAACATCATTGTGTAGTATATTTACTTTTGTATATTTCAAATTGTTGAGACCTTCATGTATCAACATTAGCTTGGGTCTCATGAAATATAAATTTATTAAAAAAATTTATTTTTCCTTAATTAAATATTTATCTTTACCAATCAATTTAATTATATTTTTTTCTAGTTTGTTTTCTTTAAGCACTCCTCCTTTTGTTAAATATAATTAAAAATATTGTCTAAATTTTATACATGATTCGTGAAAATTGATATCAATTTAATTTTTTAAAAATTATTTTAGTTTAACTATTAAAATTAATTAAGAAATATATTAGTATTTTAATTTTTTTTATAAGATAAAAAAAAAGTACAATGATGTATCGTCTACAGACATGATTGCTATCTTCTATGTTTGCTGACCCTTTTAGTAGGTTGGAAAAATTAAGGATCCGCGTTGAATTAGAAAAGTAAAACGTGTATAGACATTTTGGTACTTTAATATTTCTTTATTTTGTTTATGCACATACTTTCCTTCATATAATGTCCTTTTATTTTAATAGAATGCTCGAGAGTGATTAAAAAAAGAAACAATTCTAATATGCAGGCCAGATGCCATTTAAAAATGCCCTTAGTAATGTAAGAATAAAGAATAATTAGTTATACTTATTATTTTATTAAAATGATAGATAATCCCTTTCATAATCATAATTTTGTCAAATTATCTCCTCAAGTTTTAATGAGAGCAATTTATTAATTTTTACTTTTATGATTTGAATTACTATTATAACTCGAAAAGAATCACAATTTAATATATTTTAAGTTTTTAGTTAAAGCTTAAATAGCGTGATGTCTTGTTTAAATGAAAAATGTTTAATCTTAAGCAGTAAGAAATATGAATAAATAATAGTAAAAAAAATAAATAAAGAAACAGAAAAAACCGAGTTTAACTTTGAAATCACTTGGGGATAATTAAGGAAATTAGGAGACATATAACAAATTACGTTTCTCGTGTATGGATTTTATATATTTTTTTTAATTTTAGAAATCCACTTTTGCAAAAGTTTTAACAACTTATTCATTTGGCCACCCTATCAACTAAATAAATCTTTCTTGCTTCAAAAACAAAAGAGAAACTTGAACACAGTTTCCGATCTTCGTTTTACTCTTATTCAACGTTGTTTCATATCTGCAAAATTACAATGACTAGTTGTATTCCCAGATTATGTTATGCACTGTTGCTGCTTCTATTACAAGCTGCAGGATCCAAGAGTGCATTGAACAACTTTCCCATGACTGGAGAAATTAAGTGCATAGAGAGTGAGAGACAAGCACTCCTCAACTTCAAACATAGTCTCACACGTGACTTTGGCATGCTATCTACATGGAGCGACGATGAAAGTAATCGTGATTGTTGCAAATGGAAGGGCATTCAGTGCCACAGTGAAACTGGTCATGTACAAATGCTTGATCTTCGTGGTCAGGATACACAATATTTGATTGGTGCATTCAACATCACTTCGTTGGTTCACTTGCAAAACATGGAGTATTTGGATCTCAGCTATAATCATTTTCAATGGAGTCACATTCCAGAACTTATTGGCTCGTTTACCAACTTGAGATATCTCAATATCTCATATTCTGAATTTGCTGGGAGAATCCCTTGTGAACTTGGAAAGCTTGCACATTTACAATATCTGGGTTTAGGGACCAATTCACTCTATGGAGAAATCCCTTATCAACTTGGAAATCTGTCACGGTTGAAGTATCTAGACCTTGGGACAAATTCAATTTCAGGAGCAATCCCTTTTCAGGTTGGGAATCTTCCTAACTTGCACACTCTTAGACTTGGTGGCAATTTTGATGTTGAATTCAAGGATGCAGAGTGGTTGTCTAATCTCCATTTCTTAACAATTCTTGAGTTGAGTTCATTAGGTAATCTTGGCTCCTCCCATCACTGGCTACAAACGATTGCCAAGCTTATCCCAAACTTAACGGAGTTGAGGTTAGTTGATTGCACTCTTTCAGACACTGATATTCAATCTTTGTTTTATTCTCATTCCAAGTTTTCCACTTCTCTTACCATTCTTGATCTCTCTTCCAATATGCTGACATCCTCAACGCTTCAACTCCTGTCCAACTACAGCCATAATCTCCAGGAGCTTTATCTTTCTCATAATAACATTGTTTTGTCATCTCCTCTCTTTCAAAACTTTCCTTCTCTGGTCATCCTTGACCTTTCATATAATAACATTGCATCATTTGCTTTCCAAGGTATTTTCAAATCCAGCTCAAAACTTCAAAGTTTATATTTCCAAAAATGCAGTCTTACCGATGAAAGTTTTCTTATGTCATATGCTTCCACCATGAATTCATCATCTTCTCTTGTCACCGTTGATCTCTCCTCAAACTTGTTGAAATCATCCTCTGTATTTTACTGGCTCTTTAACTTCACCACCAATCTTCGTTCCCTTTCCCTTTATGATAACCTATTAGAAAATCCCATCCTTGATGAATTTGGGAAAGCATTCAACTCTCTTGAAGATCTTGACCTCTCCTACAACAAAATACAAGGCCAGATTCCATCCTTCTTTGGGAACATATGCACATTGCAGACGCTAGACCTCTCATACAACAAGTTGAGTGGGGAAATTTCTAGCTTCATTCAAAACTCTACGTGGTGCAACAAACACATATTTAAGGTTTTGGATTTAGATTATAATCGGGTAACTGGAGTGATACCTAAAAGCATCAGGTTGCTATCTGAATTGAACTATCTTTCTTTGGAAGGGAATTCTTTGGAGGGTGATGTCACCGAATCACATCTCAGTAATTTTTCCAAATTAATAGGTTTGTCCTTATCGTACAACTCGGTGTCTTTAAAACTCTCTAGCTGGGTTCCTCCTTCACAATTAAATTTCTTGTTCGTAGCATCATGCAAATTAGGTCCAACTTTTCCTGGTTGGCTTCGAACCCCAAGTTCCTTGATTAGGCTTGATATTTCCGACAATGGGCTTAGTGGTTTCGTACCAGAATGGTTTTGGAACAACTTGCAGTATATTAATATGTCACGCAACAATCTCACAGGTGCGATTCCGAATTTCCCACTAAAGCTTCCTCTGAGACCATATATAAATCTGAAGTCAAATCAATTTGAGGGCAAAGTTCCGTCATTTTTACTACAAGCTTCCCAGTTGATACTTTCCGAAAATAAATTTTCGGATTTGTTTTCATTCTTGTGTGACCGAAGCACAGCTGCAAACTTGGCCACTTTAGATTTATCGAACAATCAAATAAAGGGACAACTTCCAGATTGTTGGGAATCTGTACGCTCATTATTGTTTCTTGATTTAAGCAACAATGAAGTGTCAGGGAAGATTCCTATGTCCATGGGTACCCTTGTTCAACTGGAAGCCTTGGTTTTACGAAACAACAATCTAAAGGGTGAATTGCCTTTTACTTTGAAGAATTGCGGCAATTTAGTAATGATGGACGTGGGTGAAAATATGTTGTCAGGTCCAATACCATCATGGATTGGAGAAAGTTTGCTGCAATTGCTAATCTTGAGCTTGCGAGGGAATCACTTCCTTGGAAATATTCCTATTCTACTTCGTAATTTGAGGCGTATTCAAATGTTAGATCTTTCTAGGAACAACTTATCAAAAGGAATTCCAACATGCTTAAAGAATTTCACTGCAATGTCTGAAAAAAGCATCAACATGAGTGAAACTCAAAGTCATGTATATTGGTACAATAAAACTTACTATGAAATTTACGGCCTTCCCTATTCAAACTCCTATAAACTTCATATAACATGGATGTGGAAAGGTGTAGAACAGAGGTTCACAGATCCAGAATTGATTCTTCAGAGCATTGATCTCTCATGTAATAATTTAACGGGTGAAATACCTGAAGAGGTTGGATATTTGGTTGGATTAGTTTCTTTGAATTTATCAAGAAACAATTTGTGTGGAGAACTTCCTTCTGGGATTGGAAATCTAAGTTCACTAGAATCCCTTGACTTATCAAGCAATCATTTAGATGGGAGAATTCCTTCTTCTCTTTCTCAAATTGACAGTCTAGGAAAATTAAACTTGTCACACAACTCTCTTTCTGGAAGAATCCCATCAGGAAGACATATGCAAACCTTTGATGCATCCAGTTTTGAAGGAAATATTGATCTTTGTGGTGAACAACTTAACAAAAGTTGTCCTGGAGATACGACAATAGTAAAGCCTCAGGGAGCAACAACCCCCCCCCCCGGTGAAGATTCTACTTTCTATGAAGGATTATACATGAGCTTGGGGCTTGGATACTTTGTAGGCTTTTGGGGCCTATTGGGGACAATACTACTTTGGGAACCTTGGAGAAATGCTTATCTGAGGTTCTTGAACACATTCACAGACCATATACATGTAATGATTGTAGTGAATGTGGCAAAGTGGCACAAGTGACCTGAAGATTGATTGGTACGTTCTGACTTCTTTACTTCAAAATCATACTTTTTTCTTATGTTGTAGTTACATCAATCAATAATTGATTCTCATGCGGAAAAGGCTAATTTGTATTTCAAACTAGTGCTTATATTGACATTGATCTAGTTATTAGAATTTAGTAATTTATATCACTCCAACTTATCTAATTCATTACCCTTTACTAGTAAAATTATTGCTTAAGCTAGAATGTTGTTACATAGAAGGGAAACAAAAGAATAGTTCATGTTGTTTAAATGTTTAATTTTGTCGAATAATTCATTTATTGATATAGATATTTGTATCAAATTATTTAGCAAATTTTCTGTGAAGTACTGACTTTAACGTATTATTTTTAGTTGCCAGTAAATGTGATTCGTTTATAAGTAAATATGAGTAACTTATGATGTAAAAGATGCTGGTAACTCAACTAACAATGGGATGTGATGTGATGATGATGTCTGGGTTGCAACCTCCACCATGTCAATATTAACATTCTCCTAGGTACTTGCACTTAAGATGTATAAAAAATACCAACATGGAAAAATAAATACCAAATTGAAATTATAAATGAAAATTGAGGACTGGAATCTGTAAATAATCAAAATGAGTTAGTAGAGTTTTCTAATCAAGATATTTTCTTGTTTTTTTTAAATAAAAATGGTTTCTTACCTAATCGTAGGGTATATCACTTGTAATTTATTATGTCTTCCTTACAAATTAACTGCGTGAGTAACAAGTTTTTTTCTCCAACAGTAAACCGTGCTTGTCCTCGTGGATCAGAGATATGACTCCCAAATCACATTAGTTCATCTGTTTTCCCTTATTTTTTGGGTGCTACCATTTATTTTTATTTGGGTCAACTGTTACAGCTTGTGTGTGTTCCTCCTTGTTTTTCTTGATCGACACCTCAAAAATAGGTAGTTTACTATATTAGTCAAGTGTTCACACCTCAATCGTTTTGGTGCTCTTGCTGGAATTCCAACTGTAAATGTAGTTCCCCTGCTAACAATGTGAAACTTTGAACAAAATTTAAAAAATTGCTTAACGTTACAAAATTATGGTAATTAAAGGTTAGATTTATTTTTGGTTTCATTTAAATAAATTCAAATTTTTTATTTTTAATCCACTATACTAATATTTGTAGGAGTGCTACTGACTCCTGATCTGGGATGAAGGCATTGTGGACTGTCACAAGTGCAAGATACTTAATTCAATTAGCTTTGGAGTTTAGAAGATAAAATGCGGTTTGCATTTAAATAATGAGTTACAAAATCTTGATTAAAGAAACTTACTATGATGTAGTTGCATTTTGTTGTACAATGTATTTGTAATGTTTATTTCTTTTTCATTTATGTGCTTGGACTCGAGATACCTAAAGTTTGATAGTTTTTCATTTTCATCTATGCTTCCTGTTATTTGTCTAACGTAACAACTCTAAACTCAATTTGGAGATATAAAGATGAATGCTAGAAGAAAGATCTAAATTCTCATCATCTTTCTTTAAGATGATAAACTTATAATATCTTTTTTTTTCCTTCTTTTTTATCTTTTAAGGACTGTCAATCCTAAAGTAGTGTTCCCAATCTTTTGTCTGCAATTTATTTTTTACATAGTTTTATAGCCAATCTTCATATTACTTCTTGAAATTTTCGCAATCTTATTAGCAGTAGTAAGAGTCGTGCAGTCTCACAAATTGCCTTTATAATTTTTGTTTTCCATTATTTTTTACATTTTTTAGTTCTTATCTTTAATTGTCGATGAATAAAATTTCAGTGCATATCTCTTGTAATCAAACTGTGTGATATATTTCTCCTCTGACTTCGTATACTAGACTTATTTAATAAATTTAGTTAAAAGTTAAAAAATTAGCTTGAGATTAAAAGCTAGAAACTATAAATTAAAAAATTGATGAATTAGCTAAATAATTTTAAAATATTTAATAAAATTATTTTATAAGTATAAAATGATATAAAAAGGCATAAAAATTAAAATAAGATAAAAGAAAAAAGCTAAAAGCTTTTAACACACATGCATCATAAAGCATTGTTTCATCAAATATTATCTAAATACTATAAATTACTAAAATAAACTCATTTTTAATAAGTCTAATTTCGTTAAATAAATTTTAAATTAGTGAAATAAGTTATAAATTAATTTAAAATTTACTAAACACACTCATTGTATTTTATTTAATCGAAATTTTAAATTGACTCATTTGAACTACAAACTATAATAAAATCATTAATAATTTTTTACCTATAAAAAGGAGAAAAACGATTCCATTGAGATATTTATATGAAAATTGAACTTTAGTTAAATTCAATTTAATTTAACATACAAATTACTATTAATATTTTAAGTTTCTAAAATTTAACAATATTTTAGTTTTAATCCAATATTTTAGTAAATCATTTTTTTAGTCTCTCTCATTGACATAATTCAACCAAAAATTGATATTTAAAACAAAAATTTGTAAAAAAGATGGACTAAAATAAAAAGAAATTGTTAAAATATGAAAAAAATTATTTATATTTTTAATTTTCAAATGTTAAATCTTTCGAGCTACAGCTTTTAACTATATTATTTAAAATATAATATTTATTTATATTTTAAAAAAATAACTTGTAAAGTTATTTTACTAAAAACTTTTAAATCAATGATTAAATTGATAAATTTTTATATTTTATTAAAAAATATTAAATTTAAGTGTATGCATTTAAAAGAGATGAGAATGAATTTTATTTTTATTAATTTTTTATACAATAATATAAAATAAAATATGAAAAACTAAAATTTATTTTCAAAGAAAATTATATATTATTTATAAAGGTAAATTATTACTAAACTAAATTTACAATTAATTTATACTTTCATTTTCTTTATTCAAACAATATAGAAAAATAAAAATAAAGAATCTCTCTCCAAACCTAATTTATCATAAGTTATAATCACAATTACCTTTTTTATATTTCGTTTTACCGGTGAAAAATTAATTATACAACCATAAACAAAAGGACGATGTTGCTATTCACCTTCCCCAGATTGTGTTTCTCCACCTCTCAAGTTTTCAACGCCACTCTCCCCACTCCTTTTCTTCTTCTTCCCCTGCGGAGTCTTCAATGGAGGCCAGAGTCTCTTCCTCTCTTGGCCTCCCATCCCCAAAACCCCACCAACTCTCAACAACACTCACAGAATTCCCTTCTCTTCTCAACCATTTCACCACCCTCACCCACACCCACGTCCTCCCTTTCGCCTCCACCTCCAATTCCAACCCGACCCGACCCAACAAATTGCTACGACCCACCCCCAAACCCCAATCCCTCATTAAAACCCTCTCCGTCCTCGAACGCGCCCTCATCGGCGCTGCCGGCGGCGGAATCGCCGGCGCATTCACCTACGTCTGTCTCCACCCCCTCGACACCATCAAAACCAAGATGCAAACCAAAGGCGCCTCGCAAATTTACAAGAACACCCTCGACGCTGTCGTTAAAACCTTCCAGTCCAAGGGCATTCTCGGCTTCTACAGCGGTGTCTCCGCGGTAATTGTCGGTTCCACTGCTTCCTCTGCTGTTTATTTCGGCACATGCGAGTTCGGAAAGTCGTTTTTATCAAAATTCGAGAACTTCCCCGCCGTTTTAATTCCCCCGTGCGCGGGCGCGATGGGAAACGTCGTGTCGTCTGCGATAATGGTTCCCAAGGAGTTAATAACTCAAAGAATGCAAGCTGGTGCTAAGGGGAGGTCGTGGGAAGTTTTAGTCAACATTTTGAAAAACGACGGCGTTATGGGTCTCTACGCCGGTTATTCCGCCACGTTGCTGAGGAATTTACCCGCTGGGGTTTTGAGTTACTCGTCGTTTGAGTATTTAAAAGCTGGAGTGTTGAGGAGAAGCGAGAAGAGCCACTTAGAACCGATTCAGAGCGTGTTTTGTGGGGCACTGGCTGGGGCTATATCTGCGTCCATTACGACGCCGTTGGATGTGGTGAAGACGAGGTTGATGACGCAGGTTCGTGGGGAGGGTGTGAGTAAGGTCGCGGCGGTTATGTACGACGGCGTTTCGGCTACGGTGAAGCAGATTTTGAGGGAGGAAGGGTGGATTGGACTGACACGTGGCATGGGTCCTAGGGTTCTTCATAGTGCGTGTTTTTCTGCTTTGGGGTATTTTGCTTTTGAAACGGCTAGGCTTAGTGTGTTGCAGCAGTATCTTAGAAGAAAGGAGTTGAGTGAAGCTGAAATTTCTGTTTCTGCGGGATGAGTTGATGATGGCATTTTGCGGTAATTTTGATTCTGTTTGGTTCTTTATTCCTTAATTTTGATTTGGATGTTGGCTGTGTTTGGTTTGTTTAATAGACACGCTATTGGCATAAGGGCTTTTTTTAATGATAATTGCTTCAAATTACAAGTAGAATTTTTCGGAGGAAAGGAAGTTGTTATGGCAAATGTGCTACTACAATGGCATACATAAATGTAGTTTCTGTAATGTTATTTTAGTTGGTCATTTGGTTGAGATTTGTTATAAAAGTGATTTTGCCAATTCCTAGTCACGGTGTTGGAAATGTAGGAATGCCCACCGCAACAAATCTACTGCTAAGATTTGTTTGGTATGAATGACATTTGTCTCTCCATGCATGTCGCATGAATATCTGAATATGTTGCATATTGGGTGTTCACTAGTCTCCTACCTGAATTAGTTTGTTCCTTTGAAGCTATGGCAATTGGCAAGTATATTTTTATATTGGGAGTACTGTAAATTGAACATTTTGCCATAACATTTCTTGAATTGAACACGTTCCAACCCTGTGGTGGAGATACTCTTTCCCGCATTGTACAATTCTTGTGTTTAAAGTTAAAACATCATAGATCATTTTTATACACAGATCATAATAATATGTAATATCTCCAAGGATAGGGGCTAAATATATGCGAACATTCTGTTCTTGGGTATGTTTGGATGGAGTGGTTTCAAGGTATAGGAAAGGGAAGGTTGACTTCTTTGTTTTAAATTAATAGTTAAAATATTTTAAAAAATGTTCAAACAAGAAAATATTAATTTAAAATGAAGAATTATACTCCCTTTTTTCAAAACCCTTTCATTCTAACTTTTTGTTCAGTTTCTATTTTAAGATATATTCTTAATGATCTAACAAAGGAAACAATGTTTCACATATATCTTGAACAACTATATATTCAGGCTTTGACAACTTCAATTCTAGCCGAACAATTCACTTATTTCAATTTAGCTTGGCTTTGTGGTTTTTTATTTGAATAATTCGTTCGTTGGGGGCTGATAATTAGATAAGTAAGGCATGTTGCCTATAAATATAAGAGGAGAGGTCGAGAGAGGTGAGTATCTTGTCATTTTTTGAGAAAACTGGGGCCTTAGGACATTGGGAAGTGTAGACCCTCAAAGTTCTACAGTGTTCAATCTTGTAATTGGAGTTTATCCCTTTCCTTCCTAATAAGGTACCTCTGTCATAATTCATTTATAGAATTATTCTAATGCTACTTTGGTCAAATGACCTATTCATAATTTTTTTTCTACCCTAAAAAAAGTGGACTCCTCAGGAATGAATGACAATTTCTGATTAGAGATGAGCATCTTTTCTTTGTTTAGCCTGAATACGAACAACCAATATTACTAATTTGCTATTGTATATGTTAGTATATCATTTAACATAATCAGATATCAAAGACAAGAAATTATTCTGGCTTTCATGAGGGAAAATTGCACTGTAGACTACAGAACATGGGGCGGATTCTTTTCCTGCTTTCTAATTAAGATGTATATTTCAAACATTCAAATTCTAAAAATGGGAAGTCCACTGATATACAGAATAGAGATTGATAGTTAATTGTTCTGCAACTACATTTATTTGGGAGGTTATATACTTACCTGAGAGGTAATGTATTGTTTCTGATTACTCAGTTTGGTGAAACATTTCTTCCTATGTGTCTAAATTGATCCTTAATGGTCATATGAAAAACTTTTGGCAATATGAAATTAAAGCTACGAATAATATGATGGGTAATTACTGTTTTTAATCTTAAGACTCCCTTTAATGGAGTGAGAAGTGATGATTTTTGTGTACATTATGGTAATTACCCAGTTGATAATTGGAGACAAGTTCTTTCTGTCACATAAAGATCACCAAAAGATGTTTTTTTTCCTCTCAACAAAGTCTTTTCCATACACATGATCAGGAATGGTACAATTTGGGCTGGTAGAAAGTTGGGTAGCCGTTTTACTGTGGTGTTCAGCTAGCAAGCTCATGACTGGTAGAATTGTTTTTACATTTTTTTCTGAATGAAAATTATAGTAATTTAGATTTTGGAGTTTCAGATTTTAGATTATAAATTTGTCTGGACTACTTCCTGAACTTTTTTATGTGGAAAATAAAATTTATAAATTGAACTTGAAGCATTTTCGGGTACAATGAAAAAATCGTGTAATATGAATTCATTTTCAGCACAATTTCGGTCTCAACTTTTGCTGAGTAGGTTATAGCACCATGAAAGCATTCATATTTGATTTGCCTTGTGGTCAGGTACTGTTCATTGTGATTTAACTATGATTTTAGACCAGGGAACCAACAAATCTTTGAATGAAATATTATAATTTGTAATTAAAATAAATTGTGACTACAACAGTACAAAACTAGTTAATTTTTAATATAAAAATATTTTGAGTACAACTATATAATTTCCATTATATTAGGAATGTGATTTTATATCCATTTCAATTCTATAACAATAAATTTGAAATTAAAATTTTGGACTGCTATTTCAATTCCATCGTCTAAACAGATCATAGAAAAATTATTGAATATTGAATAAACATAAATTTGAATAATCATTTTTGAATAATTAAGACGTAGTTACGAGGTGAACAATATTTATTAACTAATATTAAGCCACATTTCATTTAAGGGATTTTTTTCTTTCCCAATAGCATGGAAGCAGCACAGGGTTGAGAATGTGATCTTGATTCCCCATATCCTCTTTGTTATGAATAAAAATGAAGTAATTATAAGTTACATCAATCCATTTTTCCACAGAAAAGACTCCAATCCATTTGTAGGTTAATTAAATTTGTTTTCTTTGGCATTGCCTTATTGACTTTCTATACCATATGTATCCTCAAAATTAAGAATATTATTACTTTTTTTTTTCCATGTGGTCCCAAGTAATTCTATGCGTATGTGTGAGATAATTTATTTATTAAAAGCTGTGTTTTGGGATTTTGGTGGAGCAAGTATGCATGAACATAGTTCTAAAGAGTTAATTTAACAAAGACTGCAATACTAGCTGGAAGTACCAACAGTTGGGTATCATGTATTCTTGTTGATTTGTGCAAATTTGGTGTTATGGTGTTGGATGCGGCAAGCAACTAGTACAAATATTATTCAAAATAAAATATTAAACCTCAAGTTATATAGATTAATAGCCTTACCTAGTAAAAAAAAAAAAACATTATAGATAGATTATACAATATAACATTCTATCGGTTCTTTGAATCGGCAATTTTGCTATTCTTTACTTAACAAATGATAAATTAGATCACATGATCTAATCTTCAATACTACACATTTTTCATTTCCTACCGCTCATTATGCTTTTATCCTAGATCATAAGTTTGTAACTGACACACAATAAAGATATCATCTGTGGATCTCATTGAGTTTCTTGTAAAAGCAACTAATAATTCCTTTGGAGAAGCAATTCAGTCATTTATTTAAATAGTAAAACTAAATTTTATTGACATGACGAGGATGAAATTTAGAAGAATTTTAATGAGTGTGTGTGTGCCTGTGTGAGTAAGAAACAGTTTCTTTTAAAATTTAGACGAAGTAGCTAAGATCAAGAATTTTAGTACGTGTGCGTGTGAGTAAGAAACAGTTTCTTTTAAAATTTAGACGAAGTAGCTAAGATGAAGAATTAAAATAGCCAATGCCATTAATCAGATTCACGTGAGTCAATTTTTTCGTATAAGAGTAATTCTAGATTTATGTAACTGGAACAGAAGAAAAAACTACGAACTTGAATGATGGAAGCGCTTGAATAATATACACCCTAGGCTTTGACCATAGGTGGAACTTTGCCACATTGACTAAGATCATTACACGTATATAGTATTGGTCCCAGTGAGCTCTAAAAGCCTGTGAAGAATTCCAGTCCCATCCTCATGTATTATGCTTCATACAAATGTGAATTGTCATCTTCACAATGGACTGTTTGCCTTTGAGGGTTTACTATTGTCTGATCTTCGGGACAACTTATGTTAAGTGGTGCACCACAAAAACTTCCCAAAGGGATTCTTCAAGAGAGAGAATTATTTGATAAATCTTCACAACAAGATGATCAATTTTGGAAAGAGTAAAAGGAATTCTGCCAAGCAAATGATTTTCTGACAAATCAACAAATTCAAGTGAATTTAAATTCCCAATCTCGAAAGGAACTTCTTCACTCAAAACTGTTTCTTTCCAAGTTCAAAGAAACTAATCCATCAAATAATCAATCTCTTGGTATTGATATTAGATACGTATTCGATATTGATATACTTCAACACTTATCCAGTCAGTATCAAATGAGTCTTCATCTATTTCATGACAATCATACTTATTGATTGTAACATAAGAGTGAGAAAATCATAATGGTTGAGTGTTAGGATTCTTTGCCAGAACTCTTCAAAACAGAGGATATTGGCAATACTATGTACACACTGCAAGAAGTGAGGAACGAAGTTGTTAAGCAGCACAAAGAAAGAATGGAAGTTTATATTTTTTTAAATGACACGTATTCTGCATTTTGAGCAATGGACAACGATGCTGAACTTGTTACATTCACCATGTTAGTGACCACCCATCTTTGAATAAGAAGAATGTTTGATCAAACTTCTTTTTTTTTTCACAAATCTATATAATACAACTTTATAAAAATAATTCGAATGTTAGGAATCTACCGTGCAAAACTGTTTTGTTTTGTTAATATAGACTTTGTCTAATAAAAATTTAAAACATATACTATACAATTAAGGATGAATTTGAATAAACAATACAAGTAAGTAGTTATTCAATATATTTTTTTACATAAATATCCAATTAAACTAACACCTCATACTTTTCACACATCAAATTAGTCATTAAATAAATTAATTTAACTCAATTAAATTTTAAAACTGTAATTGTGATTTGATTTGATTCCACCCTTTCTGAATTCATTCCTTCTCCGCACGGCTACACCTAATCATGTTCCCTGCAATGCAGTCTTGCGTCAATGACTTCATTAATGTACTCCATTATTTGATCGACATAAAATCAATATAATTTTATTTTAAATTTAATTATAAAAGTTAAAATTTAAATTAATTAATTTTATTTTTAAAAATTTATTTTAAAATTTAAATTTAGTTTAAAATCAGTTTTAAGTCTGATGTTAATTAAAATTAATTTTAAATGTATTTTTCTCAATTTTTCAACTGACTTCACAATGTATAAAATTATGGAGAAGTTGAAAAATTGATACCTCACTTTAATCTCTAGTGAGAGAAACTCGGTCTCCATGCTATACCCCTTTATCCTTTTTTTTTTTTTTTTTTTTACTTTTAATACCAAACTTTATATATGGTCAATTTATTTAAAAAGTTAATTACTTTTTTAAAGAAATCAATAATTAACTTTATATAATGAGGCCATAAATTTATATGGTCAATCAACCATTTACTTTTTCAGTAACATCTTTTCCTAACACGAATCTCATCAAAGCTGGAATGATTATTTACTTAAAACCTTTAACCCTTTTATGAGTTAGAAAGTTTGGAACGACAATCACGTCAAAAAAGAAAAATAAAACCAGACCAAGAAAATCACA